AAACATTAGTGAAAAACATATTTTACGACTACTACAGGCCACGAATATCGCGTTTTTCACCGAGTTTTACGCCATTCACGTAAAGCGGGTGAAATTCCAATATATAATAATATTTACAGTAAGATATGGTTTTATAAATAAGATATTAATATGTAATTAAATCAAGAAAATTCGCCCAATGTTGCCCGTATAGGTGCGGTTGATGAACGCCGCCTTTGAGAACGTCCCGAAGGTGTCGAATTCCCCCATGAGATTTAAGGCAATCACAAACGAACACTCATTTGCTACACCAGCGGAACTCGTAAGCGAAATATTAGACGTTTAGCGTGAGAGCGTCGAGATGTGTTCATTGGAGTTTCACCCTAGTGATATGAAAAGCACTGGTGAAAAAGATATTTCAGGCGAATATCGCGTTTTTCACCGAGTTTTACGCCACTTCACGTAAAACGGGTGAAACTCCATTGTGTGAATTGATTTGCCTATTTTGAATTTGCAAAGAATTGTAAAATGTAGTATTATCGATTTGCACAGTCTTAGTGGTGATGTCGCTAGTAGTTATCTCTATAGATGAAGCTAGTTGTAATTCCGGCACTTTTAAAGTACCGAGCTTACAAGTGGATTTTCATTTTCGATCTTGATTGTAGCATAGTTGAATTTTTATTCAAAAATGTGTAGAAGTAAACTGGGAGGTGGTGGAATATGTACATAATCGAGTATATGTGTCGGTGACAATATGCAAATTTTCTCCACCCCAAGAAAATTAGCCTTGTAAATAGACTTTTGAGAAAAGCGAACATATTTCGGTGTTTTCTCATTGGAGTGAATATTTTGATGTAGACTGCGATTAGTTTTTTTTGTTCATTTTCAGGCATCGGACATAGCCAGCTTTTACGTGCGGGAAGGTATGATGCAATTTCTGAAAATCATCGGCTCCATCGACGTCCTCGGCAATCCTGTGACCTTCCTCAATCGGGTGAGTTCCTCGTATAATTGTTGAGTTTCACGACCCGTTTTACGCGAAGTGGCGTAAAGCTCGGTGAAAAACGCGATTTTCGCACTGTGCAGTAGTCGTGAAATATGTTCTATCACTAGGGTGAAACTCCATTATAGCGACTTCATCTATTTTCCATAGACTATGCATTTTATCACATCTAGTTCTGATGTCGTGTATAAAAGTCTCCTTAGATTGTTTTCATATTGCTAGGTCGGCGACCGAGTAGTGGATTTACTCAGAGATTCAACTGATGCCACTTCTCGAGGTGACTCACATTCCCTCACTACGTCTCTAGGTGGGCTTAACCACGAGGGAATGACGGGGTAATTACTTGTGTAGGTCGCGGGGTTAAATCGATTGGTGCTGGAGTGGTCGGAGGACTGTTCGACTCGTTGTCGAGAATGACCAGTGGCTTACATGCTACTGCTGATGCTATTATAATCTACCTACAGTGGATATGGATTGGAGAGGAAGAACTGAGTGATCGACGTGGGTGTGATATGACGTGTTATGAAGACACAATTGAGGTGAGTTATGGAAGTGATGGTATCGCATATTGGTGTAGGAAAGAGGAGAAAATTCTCATCGGTTTCTGTATACTTCTACTACCAGAATTTGTACGTGAACTTCTATAACTAGTGAGGAAACTGCTGAGCTCAGCAGCTGAGGAAATCGAACATTTATTTACCCAACACTGTCGTGTGTTGGTGTATGTTACTGTTGTTCAGTCGGTGTTGCTAGTGATAAGTTAATCGCTAGGCTGAGCATATTCCCAGCCTGGCATTTTGTATCGTTGATTTGCGATTAAGTGATGCAGTGAGAAAGTATCACAAAAATCTAAAAGTTAAGACACGCTTCTGTGGAACATTTTCTCATTTACAATATATGTTATTATTGTTTTCTTTGATATGTATTTGTTAGTGGTTTGAGGCTCCCCAGCTCTTCTAGCCGTAGACTCAGTATTACCAACCATAAGACTTTGAGAATGGTAAAGGAAAATATGATCTTAACTCTCTATCCTATCCTATCCTAATAAGCCTTTGTGTACTGCTGTGCCAGGGACTCTGTCTCTTGATATGTATTTGTACATTTTTCACCTTCATCTCAGGCCGCGCGTTTGGCTCAACTAGCCATCACTGGTGTTGGTGATGGTATAGTCACGGGCATTCGACTTGCAGTTATCAGGATCTATCGCGGAAGTTTGCTCGCATTTTGGCATCCCTATGGGGCTAGCAGGCATGCTACAGTTGTGGCTTTGATTCCGGTGAGACTCGACGTAGTTCCCAGCAGTTTTGGAGGAGGAATATATGTTAGATTTTTTCAGCTTACCTGAAGAGTTTACAAAGCTATCTATATACGAATCCGAGTAGAAATGTACAGAAAAGAACAGTGTTGGAGGAATAAATGTTTGATTTTATCAGCTGAGCTCAGGAGTTTTCAAAGCTACTCGAAGAATTCGGGCAGGAGTGTTCAGAGAGCGATGAGAGTTCCCCAAAATTTCCTCAGAATTTTGAATTGTAGTAGAATGAGTTTCGCAATGTGAGGGAAAACATACACATGGTCGACAATACGTATTGGTGATAATATGAAAAAATCGGGAAATTCATGTTGATTTCTGGATGTTTGTACTATAGTAAACTTGTATAATAAGTGAGGAAACTCCTGAGCTAAGCTGGGAAAAGCGAGCATATTATCCTCAGCACTGACTTGTATCAGAATACGACTATGTTCTGTTATCTCAGGGAATCATTACAGGAGTCCTCACATTCGCACTATGTTTGATATCGGCAATTCTGCTCGGTGTAGCATCTATATTCCGCGGACTGCGTAACTCGGTGATTGATAAGGACACTGAGTGGGACAGGTAACGTCGGTGTTGGAGGAATATTTGTTCACTCTACTCAGCTGAGCTCGGGATTTTCCTCACTAATTATATATGAATTCGGGTAGAAGTGCACAGAATCCAATGAAAATCTCCCGAAATTTCCTGAGAATTTCAATTTGTAGTCAACTGTGGGGGAAAATTTGCACATGGTCAACTACATGTGTTGGTGACAACGAGAAAATTTCGAGAAAGTTTCGGGGAAGCTTCGAGGAAATTTGGGGGAAATTCTGGTGGTTTCTGAACACTCCTACCCGAATTTCTATTATTGGTGAGGAAACTTCTAAGGGATGCAAACACCCGCTCAGGAGCTTCCGCACTAATTACATACGAATAAAGGTAGAAACGTAGAGAAAGCAACAAGAATTGACCACTGCATATTTTCCCACTTGTATTTTTGCCATGTCACTGCTTTTGGTACTGTAGTTCTGAGCATCACCAACAAGTCCGTCCAGCGCTGCATACGACCAGTTGGAGATGCCTCAGAAAGTACGATCCTGACTTGGCCGTTGTGTCTCGTGTGCTACGGCTAGCTGGACCTGAACACGAGCAAAGTCACTCGCATGGGAATGATGGACCGATCGTATATTCTATGGAGTTGCAGGAAAGTGAGTTATGTCGTAGCTTTCACAGCAACAAAAAGCAGTGTGGGGGGAATGTGCATATGGCTAACTGCGGGTGTTGGTGACACTATGAAAATTATGAGAAAATCTTAGGAAATTCACATTGGTTTTTGTAGACTTTTGGCCGAATATGTATGTAAACTTGTTTAATTAGTGAGGGACCTTCTGAAGTTAGTTGAGGAAAGCGAACGTACATTCCTCCAAGACTGATAACACCACGAAGATGTTCGAAGAAAGTTCTCATATGTATATGAGATGTGTAGGAACACGCTAATGTATATGCGATCACATCATGTTGATCGATCACTACAAGTTGGGCATTTTCTTAAGTTCTACTCTTCCCCAGCGTTGGAATATATGTGGGCAGAAGAACTTTTCTCATTTACTTTGGAAGTTGATGAAGGAATACGGGTAGAAGTGTACAGAAACAAACTTCCTCAGAATTTTCATATTGTCATCACCAACAAATGTGGTGCATATTTCCCTCCTACACTGCTTTTTTCCCATATATCGGTTCATACCAGTCAATTGCTCGCTGGTCCTCCTTGGAATTGTCACAAATGCAATTGCAGGAACGTACAAATGCAATTTCGCGCAAGTGCAATTGCTGAATTTGCAATTGCATGCAATAATAATTTTTCAGCGCGCACAGTGTAGACAGCTGAATTCTTAGTGGCGCACAGCAAGGACAATGACACTCCCGATGACACACAGTTGGGACAGTAGCAATCATAACGGCCTACCCATCGTGCGTGATTGCACGTATGTGCATAGCTAATCTCCCATCCCCCCGAATAGATTAAGATAGAGGTCCCCCCGACTCGTGTTATCTACTATGAGTCACGACCAAGCAGCAACTGCATAGTGCGAATATCGGGTTTTCACAGAGTATTCCGTCACCTTACGTGTAACGAGTGAAACTTCACTACAATATAATATGTATAAGCTGGCTCAATGGCGTACTCCCTCAAGAGTATGCTTATGCAGATGGAATGTTCTTGCTGTTGCAGAGTCGACGGTCCGGACGTTCGTTTGCCTGACTCCTGATTCCCTCCTTAAACTTTCTACCAAACATGGCAATGAACTCGAGCGGAAGGTGAATTAAGGGAACTTTGCATGGGGGTGACTTATGTCATCTTTGCTAGATACCATTTTTAGCGATAAAATCTGTTCGAGTCTCAGTCATGAATTTGCAGGATAGCGCGGGCATGAAGTTTGTGTTGACAGTGTCGTTCAGCTCGCCGCAGTTGTTACCTGCTAAACTTGAGACTTTACCAGACGCACCGATTCTGAATGATGTGATGATGGTGAGTTCAGTCTGTAGACGATGATTTTGTATACCAATTCGACATGCACATGTGCGTTTTCTATTCCGGGATTAATGATAGTGAACAACTTGTCGCTATCATAATCTCGAAAGGTTACCATAATTACATCACATGTTCATAGCAATGTTCACATTTGTTTATACGATATTGAGTCAGATTGGTTCTTGTTAGTTCCCGAGAACACGTTTTTTCACAGTTGCATATCCAATAGACACACTTTCGTGTTGACTAGGTCTGCATACATACTGAGTGTGAGATCTTTATCCTTCCCAGGGGACACCCGCTGGTGCAACTGATCGGCGACCCATACAGAAAGCCTTGGAAGAAGCCTCGGAATACAAGACGATTAGAGGCAGTATTGGCTCGGACGATTATGAAGAGGTAGGATTTGTGTTGTTTTTCTCATCAATTCGGTTCCTATTATCAACTGTCGTTTGTGCGCCCTATCTGCTGAATTGCTTTCTGTGCGTCTGCGTGTTGATGTTGTACGCAAACCCAAATTCTGGTATGGATCTTCTACACTTTGAGTTTTCTCGAGCGAAACAACCGTCTCGAGAGATTCGGAGCTTTTCATGAACATCCTAGCGTTCGCGAACAGTGTGAGTAAATACGAACATGGTCAACAAAATTCTGGTGACAATGTGAAAATTCTGATAAAATTTCTGGGGGTCCTTATTGGTTCCTGAACACTTCCACCGGAATTCGTACGTAAACTTGTAGAATTGGCGAGGGAAACCTGAGCTCACTCGAGGAAAGCCAACATATATTCCCCTGCTTGTGAAAGACAATATCGTATGAATTTCCCCTGGTCGTTTCTAGGGGCACTCAGAGCCCCTTGGGTTAGTGTAGTGTGTAAGTTGAAGTTATTCAGGTATTACCAGTTCTCAAAGAAGAGTTTGCCGTTCTCGGTGAAGGCCCGCTATCTGGGAGCGACGAGAGTGATGCGGTATGCACATGAGAATCTTCTATCTTATCCGATTCGTGGCTTTATGTGTTAAAATTCTCGCAGTGGGCTGTGAAATTCTCTACAATGTTTTGTGAACGGTGTGGCATGGAAAGTGTGAGGAAACTTTTTAGTTGCATTCTTTGTGAACTAATTAGTGAGGAAATTTCCCAATCCATGTACTGAGATTGAGTACAGGAATAATATTGCTGCTGAATCGGCGTATTCATGCTCAGATTCGTCTGCGCTTCCAGAACTGGGCCGAGGTCTCTTCTTTGTTTGACGAGTTAGCTCAAGCACTGAAGAAACACCATGCGGCGCGGCGGCTTGCCATAATCTAGATCAACCGTCATGAGAGATTACTGCTTGTGTATTCAGCGCGATGCTGATGTCATGTTACTGCCGAGCATGAGAATTCACCATTTCGGTACACTCAGATTTCAGGCATATCAATGCTATTTCCTCCACTGTTTTTGGGTTTGAGAACTCTGTTAAAGGGGAAGCTATTTTGGTGTAGTTGCGTCAGTTGAGCTCCCAAGATACATATCGTTTGAAAGAGCGTAGTTCGTGTATTCTGCAAAAAAGGTTTAAATGGTCTTGTACTCGCTACAACTGTTGTGCGCTGTGATTTTCAAACAGTCACGTGCCGGACTGGTCCTTCGTCATGGATCGTGATCTGGTTGAGAAGCTCCTGCTCATCACAGTCAGCCCCTAGAAAGCCTGGGTTGCAGCCTACCAAGCGGAGGAGCGAGATCCAAAGGGAGTGATTCGTCTTACTCGGGCTCGTACCCGAGCTCAGAGTGCTCAAGCCCCATATCGGTGAGATAAAGAGCCACTAAATGTTATTGTATTATTGATCCGACTCAGAATCTCGAGGAGGAGGTCATTGTCGATAAGAGCCAATCAAAATAGGCACGCATTATGCGTGCAGTCGGAACTTGTAGTTATATGATGCTCATGCATGATGATGGCGATTTTTTTCTGGACTCAGCGGGAGTTCGAGGTAGTCGGTGCATTGTGATCTTCGCGTTGAATTGATCTCAGCAATAACGTAATCACGTTTGGCAAAATCTGAAACCCGCGAGCTAGGGACAGCGATCGCACAGCATTAAAAACTATAAATTATAGTTTTTACTCCAGATTCGAGGCTTTAATTCGGATGTTGAGAGAGCAATGTTCCCGGAATATCAATGGCAGGTTCAAATTTCTGGAACCCCAAAACCCGAACATGTAACGCTGCTTGTTAGGTAGCCGAGTGTCCTATTGACATGCGCGATCATGTGTCTGCCAAGCGCTAGCGATCTCAATTCCGACCTGGTGTTGTTGACTTCGGAGCGCACCCTGGTGCTGCTGCAGCACCTGCTGCATGCGTCGCAATACAAAACAATGGTCCTGACCTACTATTTCATCATGATATGGTGAGTCTGATGCCAAATGTTGATTCCGCGAATAGATTGGCCGTCTGCTATAAGTTCAGCGAATATTGTGCAGTGCACAATGTGCACTCCCAAAACGTCCCATGGGCGTGTATGAAACGGATGCCATCTCTTATATGCCTACTTACCCGGTAAGTCCCTTGTCACAGTAAGTCTTACCGTGACAAGGGAGTTGTTGTTGTTGATCTAGCGGTAGGACCGGGACTAGAAAAATGAGGCTGGTACTCTAGATGCAGCCTTCAATGTTGTTCGCAAGAGTGATCGCTCGGCAATCGAGATGAAGTGCCGTCAATTGAGAAGTTCTACAATTTGTGAAAGAAATCCGCGGCTTGAACCAGTGGAGAAGTGCGCAAAGGTTGCACCTGCGTGTTTTTGTCTGCATAACCTCCAAACAATGATGGGAGAGGAAGACGACAACGCGAATAACGAACATGCATTAGAGGATATAGAAGCCAATGATGTGGAGCCGGGCTTCGAAGAAATAGCGGCTCGTGCCGCGTACGTGGCTTTTCAATTTGACGAAGCGGGCGAGTAGGATGTAGCACTGTACATTGTGTTACTGATTTAACACAGGATGAATATGTAACACTTTATTTTTTCGGATTTATTCCCGATGCTTAGCTCAATAGGCGAACACTCAGTGTTCGCCACTGTTCGCCGAACAGCGTGTGATATAATCCGTAAGTCAGTAGTTAGAACGTGATACACGCTACAGTGTATCGGGCGCGCGTAAACTACTCAATCAGCTCACTGTCTCAAGCTCAGGGTTGTGCCGCCGCGGAACACCGTCGGTACCAGAACTGGCTGTGAAACGGGTTTGAGTCAGTCGGTGAGTCGGGATGTGACTCATACTCAGGGTTAGATGGGTGAGTTAACTCTGATTCGCGAGTCAGATGCTGATTCACATCTGGCTTGAACGATTTAATAGGCTGTATACTAGATCGTTCAAGCCAGATGTGAAATTGTATACTGTATACATGCATCACTGAATCATTCAGTCTGACTGCGTTACTAACATTCAGAGGAATCCAAATTACAGGGACGGTTTCTTTCTTCACTCTTCCAATCGACCCGAGTAACTCGAGTATAACAATAAACTCGTAACCAAAGCTTCCAAGCAACATATGCCTCTATCAGAAATCGCCCTTGAAATAAGTAACGTTCTTGGGGAACGTCTCGTTCTTTCATCGACAAAGAATAATTATCCTACGCTCGCTCTGAACGAGTCTCATCATCACAGTTATGTGATTTATGTTATGAGAAAGAACAGATCAGCTGGATACAACTGTACTGAAGTACGAAAAAAGCTTTGGACATCGATGTCGAGATAGACGTTGATCATCCTTGCCAGAGTTGACCAGAGAGGAAGGAATTGAATGCCTGCTGCATTCCTTCTGGCGCGTCTAAGATCATATCATGTCCCGAGTTGATCACCTGAAATTATAAATTCAGCCTTCAAGCGAGAAACGGCCCTGAGTGCGTCCTGCTCAATCTTTCGAATAAATTGAATTCGACATACATTAATAACTGCAAGGTGTGCTCCGTTAGCGAACGAGTAGCGATAGTACTTTCCAAAGACGCCAACTCGAGGAAACTGAAAGATGACAAGCCTCAAAGCAAATAACGAACATTGAGCCTGAGATAGCTCACTTGCAGAGTCCGACGCAGAGACGAGGAGAGCTTCGAACCGTAATTGATTTGGCCATTCAAAGAGAAGACCCATTTCTCTGTACCACCGTAGTTAGTCACGAAGTCCTCAGCGCCATTGAGGATGAATACCTGGTTCACACTGTGGGATGTACGACTTATCAGTTTTAGTCTTATCCTATTATCAGTGATAGAGGCCACTTATATCACGAATCACAGAGCCCTCACCTTCATTCCTTGATCTAGTAGTTCATTTACGAAGTATGTTGTATCGTAAGCCGCGTAGGGTCGGAAATCACTGAATACCTGAATATCGTAGAATCATAACAATCCCCGCACTCAATGCGGGATGCGACAACAGACTTCATCATTCTGCATCTGAAAGCTCTTTGCAACTCCCAGCTCATCCTGAACATTCTTTCTGTTCAGAAGCTTCTCTACCTGAAGACAAAAACATAATTCTCGACCTCTCCTGGGGCAAACGAGAAGTGAGAGTCCGAGTAGAATGCAGGTCGATCTCCCTTATGTGGGAATCAGAAATCTGAAGTGATGGCGGCGGGTTTACATTTCCAGGATTGAACTTGTAGAACCGTGATTCACGGCCGTCTTCGGTGCGCACATCGTATCTAAAGCGAGAGATTCTCGTCGAGAGTAAAATAGT